TTAATTATTATTAATTAGTCTTAGTATGAATGATACTGCTACTGCTATTAATTAATTTTTTTTTAAGTTAATACTTAGAATAGCTTCAGAGAAATTCTTTAACTTATAAGTAGGTAGCGTGCTTTCTCTTTCTTTTTATAATCAATACATAGTATAAAACAAAGTCGCTTTCGCTGTATGTCCGTATGTATGCTTAGATCTTTAAAACTAAGCAACGGATTTTGATGCGGTTTTCTTTAATAGATAGAGTGATTCTTAAGGAAGGTTTGTATGTATAATACATGCATATTGCACCCGTGCGAAGCCGGGGCGGGTCGCTAGTACTGCATAAAAGAGATATCGATTTTTATAGCCACGGGCTTAAATATAGACCTGCTGCTTAGAGATAATGCGCCATAATGTGTGTTAGGCAGCTTTAGTAGACTTCTGAATGCCATCCTGTTACAAGTGTATAGCATAGCTGGTTCCTAAGATTGCGAGTAGCTTTAAGAACCTGGATACGGAGGGAAGGTAGCATTTATGGTTTTACTGTGTTTCAGCGATCTGTCTGCGATGTTCAAGCCATCTGCCAATCACAAATATTATGACAAATCTTTCTCTCTCAAGGAAGTTACCTTTGTTTAGCAATATAAACCTATTTTGGCTGACTGTAATGATTATGTTCGATGCAAATGTTTATATGATTTGGAGATGCATTTCTGACGGTCAGACATTTACGTTTCTAATGACAAATAGTTTTTATTATCAACATTTAATACATGGACAGAAGAAGGCTTCACCTGAGATTGCTCGAGGCCCAGGATGACACTATAAGAGCTGACCTGAACACGCAGTACCGTCAGAAGTGGAAAAAAATCTATCGTAGCACCCGTAAAGATAGGAGACAGTGGGTTGACGGTATTGCTGATCACGCTCAAACTCAAGCTGCAAACACTGGGAACCTAAAAGAGCTTTATAAGGCCGCGAACCCTGGCAGGTATCACCAAGCTTAGGAAAAAAAAGCCACTATAATCAAAAGACAACTAAATTAAATAATAACCTGATCTTAATTACTGTTTTTAGCGAATATTGTCCCTAAAATGTGAAGGTAAACCGATAACCCACACGATTTATTTTCGTACATTTTTCAAATAGATTTTCTCTGTACCCAACAGGCCTTGTGGCCTTGGAATTCCCTACATAGCCTGACCTTTTACGTGAAAATAGAGATGAATGTCGATAGTCACTCTTCGTTATTGAATAATACACCCGCCATTTTGAAAGTGAGAGTGACGATTTGTATTTGGAACGTTGGTTGCTGTTACTAATTTTAAAAATGGCGGTCGTTTATTTCTGAGCCGTTATTTATTTGAAAAGATTTTTTATCAAAATAAAGTATATCTTTTTGAATAGCAAATGGTAGCTTAGGTAAAATTCTTTACTTTGAAATCGAACCTGAGACACTTTGGTCAGCTATCGCCATTTGCTATTACTTAGACAAAGTGGAATGAATGCTAACCATAATGATGCATTGATAACTAATTTATGAAAGGGACCGTCGGTAGAGGGCGCCTTGAAGAACATGTATATCGACCAGATTGCTGATATATTAAAGAAGGGCCGAATTATAAGTACCATTAACCGACGAGCGTGCATGAAAAGACTGACTGTTGAGGAAGCGAAAGAGGTGTGTAAGATTCGTAGCAATTGGCATTACATAGTCTTTGCCTACCCTCATGGGAGACAGGCGTGAGGTTATACATATATGTATGTAACTAATTTATGTGTTTTATGAAATCCATATTGTAGACAAGTTGTTATAAAACTATCCTGTAATGTTTTTAAAGAAAAAAGTACACCCCGTAGTAAGCTGTACCTAGACACATATTACATGAGATCACTCTATAGATTTTCGTTTGAACTAAGCAACGAACGTAGTTCCTCAAATTCGAAATTCGTTCATAAATCTTTTATACGAGTACCTACCTAGTAATCTGTAACGACACATAACTATGAAAAGAAACAAAAACACATATATACGGTCTAATTGGGAAATCTTTTCCGTTTTTTTGAAGTTGGTTAAAAAGCAACACCTATACGCAAATCTCCATGACTCCACCATGTACTGAAATTACTTATCACTCCCACAAAATTTTCCATGGAAAGAGGAAGAGGTCTGTGTTATGATTCGGTTCAAGGGCGCTGCTCCCCACGACCTTCACCAGGTTGTCTAGCTGAGGGGGCGTCCCACGCTGCATCTCCCGGCTTGTAGCGGAAAATATCTACAGCTGTCTATTTGTAGATATAGAGGCTTTAATTTATAAATAGTCTGCCCTTTTTAACTCGTTGAGTACCGTCATTATAGACACAATTAAAGAACAATAGGTTGCGGTCACCGGTGACCGCTCGGTGTTTAACAGTTTAATAGTAGGAAACTTTTAACAGAGAGGTTAAAGGGAAGGTTATTTGTTTTTGGTGTTATTAAGGCCATATGTATTGATTGCCTTGTATGAGCACTGGGCGTAAACGATTGAGAATGAGCTTCAGATTTGATGCGAAAGTTAGAGAAAGTATTGTGAATCATTCGTATGAAATCAAAAAATTATATTTGACATTTCCCAAAACTTAATGTTATTACTCAGCAGTAAGTTAATAATAAAATACTTTAAGTATAATCTGTCTACCTATGTGGATTGGTATCTCAAATAAAACTGATTTTATTAAATTTATAAATTCGACTGCACGCTTGGTGCGGTGTGATCCACAAACTTTTGTTTCGGGTCTGGGTGTCATGTGTATGTGAATTTGTATGTTTGTAAACGCACCCACGACACAGGAGAAAATCCTAGTGTGGGGCAACTTTTAAAAGAAAAACAAAATTACCTAAGTAGGTGAAAATTTACTTGTTTATTTTATTAAATTATCTTTTATCGAACATCCCCATTCTACCCTTGTCTGTTGTGTGTCGTCTATTTTGTTCCACCATGTTGACTTGTTTTACTACAGACGGATCAAAGGAAAGATTAGCGGATTTTGTGCCGTAGTCAGAATTTTATACAAAGATCTAAAGAAGATAATGGCTGGATAGAATATTAAACTTATCAAAGTAACAATGGACTGTTCTTGTCGTGCTTTGAAAATGCGGCAGGTACAATATTATAATGTCTATAATCAGAATTTTAATTAGATTCCAGATTTGACAATAGCTACTGTCATTTTGTGAAATAATGATACCACGTATAATAGTGTAGTGATGAACACAAAAATCGATAAACAATCAGTGTGTGTGTTTTATAATAAATGTTACAGAAAGTGACAGGATAGGGAAAATAACATATTACCATAATACGTCTATTTGTTTTATTTGTCATGTTCCTTCATGATTACATTTATTAATTTATTTCACACACAATTATAAAAGAAAAGTCTCAGATCGTTAATTAATCTTCAAAACTAAATTATCGGTTCAGAAATATTTAATTTCCTGATATACTTAGTTTACGAGAGTAAAATTATAAACGAGAAGAATCGATCCAGAAATATTGCATTTTCATATCGAATAAATTCGCAACGTCACTATTTAGTACCTACTTGTCATAACGTTGCAACACTGAAATTGTCAAATCTGGAATCGGATTAAAATTCCGAGTATAATGCCGAAACGTTACTCTCTTAATATCGTGCCATCTCTATCATTTTACAAAGAATTAGTGGTGACAGCACTATACTTAAGCGCGACCTAAAATTGAGTAGCGTTTCAGTATTCCGACAGTAATCTAGTAAATTTTCATTAGTTATTTTGTTTTTAAGGTACATTTTTGAGCGAAATGTTATAAATATGTGTAACTAAAGAAGCAGTGATCGTTTTCAGCGTATAACAAGGGCTCTTATCTAAAATGTGTGTCCATGGGCGGCGCTGATCGCTTACCATCAGGTGATCCGTCTGCTCGTTTGCCTCCTATTCCATAAAAAAAGTTCAACTTTTAATTCTACACTGCATCTGGACTGTTGTCGATCTAGTTGGGATCCTAGATATTGAATCCTTAGTCATTCACAAATTATTGTCCTAAGTCTAAGTGCAATGGGTGGGTACGCGAAATCTATCTTTGTGACTGTACCGTGGAGTCACAATTTAAATAAAAAATCTGCACATTTGTGGCTAAAAGTATTTATTTGCGGGGTTCTTAGGGTTGATAACGTTAGTACGATAGACAAACAAACGACACGCGTGTGTGTAATAAAAATTGATCTAGAAGCCAGAGAATACGCTTGTAGTACCTACCTATAAATAGGTACCTATAGAATACTGTATACTGGTATGTCATACATATTTATTACTCCCAATGAGACACTGTCCATTTCTATGAAATGGGAGCGTTATTACTCATCGTTAATGCGAATGTGGACAACGGAGCGATCACAATTTACTAGGTAAGGTCGAACTGTTTTATTTGTATGTAGCTAGTAAATCATTATTTTAAGAATTCAGGCATGATGCCTCTTTCTTCATCGATCTTTTGGTATATAAATTAAATAGTAGAATAGGTTGTAGTTTTTAAAAACATATATAACTTCTTACATAACTTCACGCCTTTTATCCCCGAAGGGGTAGGCAAAGGTGTACATTACGGCACTTAATGCCACTGTACAATGTAACACCCAATTTTCACTATTTATGTCATGAGTCCTATATAATAGGGGGTGAGCCTATTGCCATATGCCGGTCACAACTCCAGACTCCGTGCTACTACTGAGAATTTTTATATTTTTAACAAAATATGTTACAAAATGATAGTTGTGGGTTTAGTTGAGTTGCTTTGATGACATTTTAAAGAAGTGAGTTAGTTTTGACTCAAGATTGAAAATATCGTCTGATCTTGATGTTGATCAAGTGGTCACAAGTGGACCGCTGAGGTTTATTCCATGTTAATATTAACTGGACTTACATAATTGACATAGCAATATGTGTTATGTTCTTTGTCCTTCAAAGAACAAGATGTCTTATTTTTATTATCACTAACCTGGAAGTTTATAGTAGAAGTGACGATCTTCATGGACTCCGCGTAGTTTCTAAGCACGGAATCAGTGCTGAGGCAGCTCTGGCGCCACTCGTACAGCTGTTCCAGTCGAGTGACGCAGCGCTCGCATATCTTCTTCGGCAAGAAGTCGTCCTTCGATATCTGCTGGTTTTATTTGAAAATAGTACAAGAATTAATTATTAGACAAGTTTTCATATTAAATTTAGAAGATAACTTTTAGCTTTACTAAAGAAAATGTCGTTAGGAAAAGTAAAATTAACTAGGTGCAGTATTTTCCTAACAAGATAGTACATTTGTTTGTTCAGGACTCTTAAATTAAGTGACAGCTCAGTTAAGTGCAAAGAGTATAATAAGTATAGGGGACGTAAAGCGCCAACAATAAAAACGGTGTTTTGAACAACATGAGCTAATAGATATTTCAAAAATATGATGACTAATTTAATATGTTTATGCTATCGATAACTCAAAAGAGTGCGTATTTGCAAAAAACCTTACATCATACACATCTCATTATTACATAATAATGAAGCAAATAAAATCGTTCATTGAGCTGGATCGGGGATCACAATTTATTAGGTCGGTGTGCCATTCAACTTTGACCCCAACGGCCAACACCTTAAAAGTCATAGATACAATAAAGGATTACCGATTATGTTTGACACGTGACAGCTATTATGACCATCTCTCGTAATCTGTTATTTTCTCTATGATGTAGGGGATTCGCAATAAGCCGGTGGTCTGACCTACTTTTGAGGTTCGAGCCGGTAAGCTACGATTGTGTGGGGTCAACGATCGGAGCAAGGCGGTCTTACGAATGCATTATTAAAGTAAAAATATCGATGTAGAGTTTTATAACTTAGTTTAGAGAATATTTTCTTTCAATGTTTTTCATGTTGTTATACACACAATGTGATTTGGTTATTTTAACGGTAAGTATTATTTACAAAGGGAAATTACATATTTAACTAGTAGTATGGAGGTCTTTATACAAAACAATAACTAATTAAACATTCATATCTTAATGATTGACGTCGTAGCCGCGTAAATGGATACGATTATTCATTAACTCGCCAAATACATGTCAATAGTTACGATACATTTTTTGTTTACTTTTTACGCAAACAATTTCCGGAAAATTTTCCTTATTCCCAAAAAAAATAATCAACAGGTATTGTGGTATTTCGGTTTTCCTTGTTGTGTTCGGTTCGTAGCGCATCGTAGCGCGCAGGCGTCTACGAAGCTACGGCCGCCCGCTACGTCTACGTAGCAGCATTATTGCACTTCTAACTACAAAGCCACTGTTTACGTTGCACTTCACCACAGCACCGTGAATTACGTCATTAAATTAACTGTTATTTATATAACAAGTATGTAATTATCACATTTCTATATTACACGTCACTAGGTTGACAAGGACACAAGTTTAAGTGGAGGCGGTAGTACAAAGAGCTTACTCACCATAGTGGGCAGGCAGGTCCTGAGCTTGAACAGAATCTGCCGTTGTTCCGACTCCTTATCGAAGATATGGAGTCTGGGCCCGCTCTTCAGGGAGCACAACCGACATAGGTCGGTGAACGCCGTGAAGTTGAGGTCCTCGGGCTCGGTCATGGCGAAGCACCTGATGAGGAGGTCAAGGAGGCAGGAGTTGTCCATGTATACGGCGGTGGTTCTCGGGTGGCGGGAGACAGGGTCAACGTCGCATGTCGCGGGTGCAGGCGTCGGGGAGGCGTCGCTCCGCCGCTGCGTCCGGGGGGCACTGGGGCCCGGCGGCGCGCGGCCCCTACACCCGGCGGCCCTCCACTCCCCCCTCGGCGCCGCACGCAGCCCCGCCGTCTTCCCCGCGTTGCCTCCCTGCCCCCTCGCTCCCCCCCGGGGTGGCGTCCTCGGAAAACGCCAGTTTTCCCATTTACTATCTCAGAATGCCTGTTTATCGATATGCAATTGATTTCATTGTTTGTTTGCCTTGAATATTACTTGGTATAGGTACTCAAACTTTGGGGTTTGTGTGTTATGTTGCTAATGAACATGTACTTGTTTATGTTCATTATAGATTTATAATTATGTATGAAAAAAATAGATAGTATAAAATAATAATATTTCGCAAGTGAAAAATTTCCTTTATAGAGTTTACATTTTATAAACATAATCACATAATCAATCATCTTCTACGCAAATGAAATCTTCAAAAACAACACAACAAACAACGAAAGCCAGTACACAACCTTATTACATTTATGAACCATAAACATTTTAAATTAAAGCTAACACCAAAATATCTTGATACGCGGCTTAACACGGAATTAAACAACATACTAAAGATTACAAACAAATATACATTTGTCGTAGTAAGCAGCGCTTTGTGAAGGATCAAATTAGGCTGGAAATTGGGATACCCGACCTCTTTACACGACCTTCTATTGTAATGTCGAACGACCTGTCATTGTGTTGAATTTTTATACATTAACATAGAAAGATAAATATAATTATTATAGAGGAAAAAACATATTGTTATGTCTATAGGTTCTTCAGATTCCGATGCGGAGTACCATGCGTACTCTGAACGTACCCTGGCCATCATCAAACCCGAGGCTTATGAAGACGCTGAAGATATAGAGAATACAATTATCAATAATGGATTCTGTATTCTTGCGGTTAGTATTGTAATGATATTATGTTCTTTGGATATTTAGATGGACTGTGAAAATGCGTTTGTAGGAACTATGGTATGGCTAAGTACTTCAGAGTGAGTATACCATAACATAACATCACGCCTTTTATCCTCGAAGAGGCAGACAGAGGTGCTCATTACGGTACTGAATGCCACCCACTTTTCACTATTTATGTTACGAGTCCAATGTAATAGGGGGTGACCCTATTGCCATATACCGGGTACAATTCCAGACTCGCGTGTTACTACTGAGAATTTTTAAAAAACCTAGGAGTGCTTTGCCCGTGTGTACCTACAGTCCTGTACATAATATAAAATGTTAGCATTACCTAAGTACAAACTGAAGATATAAGTAAGAAATGGTAATGGTAAGTTGGGTTACATTACTATTTGTTTTTTTTTTATAAAATAGGAGGCAAACGAGCAGACGGATCACCTGATGGTAAGCGATTAGCGACACCCGCAAAAGCGCACGGCAGGCGTTGACGGCCTTTTAAAAATGAATATGCTCTTTTCTTGAAGATTTGAACGTCGTATCGGTTCGGATAACCGCCGACGACAGATCATTTTATAGTTTAGCAAGAAAGTTCCGAAAGATTACTATTATAACATCTGATATTATCTGTAACATTATCTTCGAGAAAAACAATAAAGTTTATTCCAAACTTTTCAGAATGTAAACACAAAAATATACAAATCAATACTCTGTATTGTTAATATCTATAATACGTTTAAAGATTTTTTTTTAATGGGGGAACATCATCGAATGACTGGGGCTGGAGGGAGTATCAGACTCTTACTGACTAAAAACCATCCCGTTCCTTCTCCTGCACGTCGAGCCCCGGTTACCCGTTAGGTTCTCCGCGACTCCGAATCGGCATCGGCCCTATTGGGCCCCATCTGTGGTGGTCTTATGGCTCTATGAGGCGCGCGCGGAACGCAACGCGCCGTACGCTCGGGATACGTTTAACGATTGGAGTTTTATCTTGCCATTAGTCACAGCGCTCCATTTCGACGAAAATATGAAACAAAATGTCACACGCACTTGTTACTGTACCTAATGACAGCACAATATTTATTTTGTAGTAGCTGTTGCATAAGACTTCGTCCGCGTAGAATATTAATTTTAGGACATTGTTATCTATTTTTTATACTTCAATTTTCCAAAATAAAAGTAGCCTATGTTATTGCTTAGTACATCAGCTACCTGCCAATAAAAGTCTCGTCAACCTCGGTCTAGCCATTCCAGAGATTAGCCAGTACAAACAGACAGACAGATAGACAAAAATTGTAAAAGATATAATTTTGGTATGTGTATCGTATGTATATGGTACGCATATAGTATGGTAGTATGGTAGTGGTATGCATATAGTAAAAATCTATTATTTTAATGTTATACCTCTAAAGGTATGTAGATGTAGGGTAAATAAACTGAATATGTAGGTTTAATGTTAA